AATATATTTGTGAGAATTCATCCATACTGATATGTATAATTCTAGTTCATTCATTATGACAAATGATTATTTCACAATTTATTTACCCATTCTCCTGGAAATGTACATTTAGAATGTCCTTCTTCTCTTTTTCCTATTTAAAACAATAATGCTAGGGACATTCTTGTTTAAATCTTCTTGTACACAAGAGAGACTATTTTTCTGAGAGTGAAATTGAGGGGTTGTGGAGTAATTCACCACCAAACTAACCAGATAGTGTCAAATTGTTTTGAAGGTGATATACTCCCACTGGCTGTGTTTAAGAGTTTCCTATGTTCCACATCCAGGCTTTCACTTGGTTTAGTGAAATTTTTACAATTTTCCAATTTGAACGGGTATGAAAGAATATATCATTTAATTTGAATTTCCCTAGTTATTAATGAGTTTGAACATCTTTCATAGGCTCATTAACATCTACATTTCCCTTTTTAAATGAATTACTTGTTCATATCTTTTGCACATTTTTCACTTTCCTTTTCTTTTTAAATCCATTATATTTTCTAAGTACAGTAAAACCTTGGATTGCGAGTAACTTGGTTTGTGAGTGTTCTGCAAGATGAGCAAACATTTCTAATACATTTTAACTTGGTAAATGAGCGATGTCTTGCAATATGACTATTTTGTTTCTGGAATGAATTATTCTTGCAAACCAAGGTATTACTGTACCTTCTTTTTTGGTTTATTTTTTAAATTTTATATATGAATTATTCATCGCAGACTGTGGTGTCATATGATCTAGTACCATGGTGATATTACATTTTTAATATATTTTCTTCCAAGACGTGGAGCTTAAGTCCCTTTCCCTTGAGTGTATAGACTTAGTGTCTCACATTTAATGCAGGAGTAATAGTGTACCACTTAATAAACTAGGTCTTAAAAGGGACTATGGCTTCACACTCACTTGTACTTCCCCTTGAAACTAGCTGCTATGTTAAGATGACATTCAGGCAACTCTGTAGAGAGACCTATGTGTCAAAGAACAGAGGCCAGTGAGAAACTGGGGCCTCATGTGAATGAATCACCTTGGATGTGAATCCTCCAGTCCCCATCAAGCCTTCAGATGCTTGAAGGCTTGGCCAATAACTTGACTGTAACCTCATGAGAGACCCTGAACCAGGAAACCCCAACTAAGCTGCTCCTGTATTCCAACCCTCAGAAACTGTGTGAGAGAATAAACGTTTGTTGTTTTAAGCTGCTAAACTTTGAGATAATTTGTCAAGCAGCAATAAATAAATAATACATGTACCTTCCTAAATTGCCTTATAGTTTGCCATAGTTTATTCACTTCATTCTCTTGTGTTAGTTAAGATGGAAATGTTGTCTACATATGATGATAAATTGTTAAAATATGATGATAAAGTAACAGAAATTACTTTATTGTTTCCCCATCAAGCCTGATTCCAGGTTTAGGTTGAAATTCATTAATTCTGTTATGTTAAGGAAATCTGTTCATTTATTCACATTTTATTAACATTTTTTTAAATTAAGAATAATGAACTTTGTCAAATTCCTTTCCAATACTTAAGAGTACTATCTTATGATTTTTTTGTTGAATTATACTAACAGGGTTTCAGTTTTGCATTGATATTTGTGAGTGAGAGTGATTTTATTTTACTATTTATTACTTGTGAAATATTAGTTAAGTCTAAAATTCTTGTGAACCATTTGATATTTTTATAATTGTTAATCCAATGTCACAATAGAAATGGAAGTTTTTCTCATTTTTTCTATGTCCTAGAACTGTATAAATCAGTGTTAGAGAAGTTTTTCTGTAAAGGACCAGTGGCAGCCCTCAACTACTCAACTTTATTAAGATAGTGGAAAAGTATCATAAACAACATATAAACAAATAAGTGTGTCTGTTTCAATAAAACTTTATTTATGAAAAGAAGAGGTGGGCTGGACTTGACCCATGGACCATAGTTTGCTGAACCCTGGCATAAATAAGTTTTCTCAAACTTTAATATGCTTACAGTTTCCAAAGAATCTTGTTAAAACCATATTTTCCTTCAGGTAGTTTGAAGTAGAACCTGAGACTGTCCACATGATGCCTATCTGCAGGTCCTCAATCACTCTGAATAGCAAGGGTTTAAATAACATTGAAACTGTCTATTCTTAAAGTTTGGTTACATTTATTTGTGAAAATGTCTAGGCCTAATTCTTCAAATTTGCATGCATTTCTTTTATGTATATTGGTAGTTTTAAACTTTTGATCTCTTCTGAGGTTAATTTTGGCAATTTACAGTTTTCTAGTCAACTATCCATTTCACACGTGTTCTCATATTTATCTGCAAAGAGCTGAGCAAAGTAATTTTTAAAGATTTTTTTTCTTTATCTGTGATTATTTCTTATTTTATGTAGTTGTTTTACCTATTTTATTTTACCTTTTTAAAGATCTACTTCATGAGTATATTTATTGATTCTACCTTTTTGGATTTTCTTATTAATTTCTGCTTTAATCTTTATTATGTTTCCTTTCAGATTACTTTTTTCCCCTGGCTTTTTGAGTTTTGTAATTAATTCAATTTTTAAAAACCTTTCTGTTTATTAATATTAAAACCATGAATTTTCCACTGAGCTTTGCTTTAGTTGTATCACATAGAGTCTGATGTGATTTTTGACATAGGCCAAGTCTCACCTTGTTTCTTCCTTCACTCAAGGATTATTTCAAGTTTCTCATATCCTGTAGGCTTATTTATTATCTATTTATTATTTATGTTTTTGTTAAACAAGTTATTTTTTCTTTTTTATTAGTTTCAGGTGTACCAAAATAATACAATAGTTATACTTTTTACCCCTCACAAAGTGACAACCCCCTCCCCCATTCCACCGCCCCACTCCCCCTGCCCCCCTCCAATATCATACATATCTATTACAATTCCATTGATTCTACTCTCCACACTATACTCCACATCCCGTGATTATATATATATATATATATATATATATATATATATATATATATATAT